TTTAAAATATAAATTATAGTATTCGAAATTTAACATTAAATTTCAACTTAATATTCCAATTGTATTCGAAATTAAAAGTTATATTCCAATTATAGTTCACAATACTTAAATTGAAATTAAATTTGTCCATACATATGATTTTATCATTAACATATATATTAAAACGTATACATTAAAATCAACTTATGTTGAGTTAATCGATTGACGGAATCGGCCAAGAGGGGGTGAATTGGCAATTAAAATTTCGGTGGAAGCTTTTGCAGAAAATTGAAAAGATTTGCACAGCGATTTAGAGTGGTTCGACTTTCTCAATCAAAGTCTACGTCCACTACCTTAGCTATCCACACTAATGATTTTCCATAAATTCACTAATTTGTCTTTCTTTTGAGGACAAAGAGTAACCTTACAAACCCTCAAGAATTATACCCCAAATTCAGGGGGGGAATCGGTACCCCCTTGGGGGGAATCGGTTCCCTCTGAGCAATCTGGAATTTTTGGCTTTGAAATGGTTCGAAATACTTTGAAAGATTATTTTGAAATTGTTTTAAGATTAATACTTAATTTTACACTTAAGTAAGGATTAAAAATGATTTTTTGAAATATTTAGAGTAATGTTTTGATATTCGAATAATTATATCCAATATACTTAGAAAATCATTTGGAAAATCTTAAAATTCATTTAACTTAATTTGTTATATCGAAATATCAAAATGTTTTCAACAACTTATGACTTCACATTTATTCGTAAAAATATCTCGATGCTCATTCCATACAATTTCAATGTCACAATCAACTTATCACTTCACATTTATTCAATTTATCCATAACATTTTATCTAATTTATTCAAACTTCACATAACGTTTTAATTTAAGTTATTCTTAACTTGCTGAACTTTCAAAAGAAGTTAAATTTTGGTTATAATTTACCTGATTTACTGATATATCTAGTGTCCCCGAGGGACATGAGTGACATAATAGGGCAATGATAACATATTCTTGACAAAATAATGGAAGGCGCGCCCCCGGGAACGCGCCTTCATGTGAATAGTACTCCGATTATAGACACTATTATATGCAACATATTATAAACTTTCAAAACAAACTTCAGTTCACAAGCTTTCAAATTCTCAAATTCCCAAACTCTAAATTCTTAAATTCTCTGAAAATGAGTCGTCTTTCTGTTGTTCTTTTGTATGATGGAGAAATTAAGGAAGCTGAAGAGGGGGTTGTTTTTGAGTCAGATCATTATATCCCCTTAACCTTGAAGAGAAACATCACAATTGAGGAGTTAATCACAAAAATTTTGTTAAAGATTCGTGTAGCAGGCCAGAGAAGACTATCTTCACTTCAGTACAGTTTTCCTACTGAACTTTTTCCGCTCACGTATACATCATTTCAGCTTTCAAACGATGATGATGTTTCTATGATGGTTGATGCTCATATGGGGAGTTCACAATCTCTTATTGAAATGTATGCCACTTTTATTGAGGTTCGTGCAACTCGTAGTCTCTCATATTCCTCTCACTTTGGCATTGCATATCAAACTGATCAAGTTGATAGCCCGACACAACTGATCTGTAATGATTTCACATCATTAATGGCAGATCCAACAAAGATACCATGCCATCAAGTTCAATAGGAAGGCATTCATCTGCAACTGCTTATGATCTCAACCCACGTGGCTTCACCAATAATCCATATGGCAACATCTCTTCTACTTCAAGGGGCAGGCATTCATCTGTCAATGTTTTCGACTTACATATGGAAATGCCAACGAGACGACAGTCTATTCACATCCCACATGATACAATGTCCTCAAGTTCAAGGGGAGGACACGCAAGCGGGAACTTATTTGACCTCAACATTGGATTATCAGAGGAACCCTCATCTCCACCAGAAGAACCTCTTCGGGAGCCAGGTGCAGATGGTGCTAAAACGGGATTATTCGTTGAACCTGACTCACCACAATTTAACGTACATTCTGATGATGACGAGGATGACGTTCCGATAAATACAACACCAGCCGAACTTCCTGCACATATGTATGAGGCTGATTATGATGCAATGTATGAGCCTGAATTTCCAGATCTTTCTGATGTTGGCAACTATGGACTTCAATCATTAGTCAATGACGGTAATTTACATATTGGAATGGAGTTCGCATCGAAGGAGGAAGCAATGATGGCAATAAAGAGTTACAATATTCGTAACTCAGTTAAGTCCCGAGTTGATCGATCTAACACGGAGAAATATGTCTGCTACTGCGTCCAACGTGACAACGGATGTCAATGGATGGTCCGTGTATCAAAGAGGAAGAGGAAGAACAACTTATGGGAACTAACCAGATACAACGATCCTCATACATGTTGTGCAACATGTATAAACCAGGATCATCCCAACTTGGGCTCCAACATTATTTGTCAAGCAATCATGCCCATTGTGAAGCAAAGCTCTCATATAGATGTTGCAGTGTTGATTTCTGCTATACAATCACAATATGGGTACACTGTCTCATATAAAAAAGCGTGGTTGGCAAAACATAATGTCATTTGCAAACTTCATGGCGAATGGGATTCCTCTTACAACGAGCTGCCCAGTTGGTTTCATGTTGTGCAAAGACTTAATCCCGGGACAATTGTTGAGTTTGAAACTCAACATCATTACGTGAATGATCGAATGGTTCACGATCGCTGCCAATTTTACCGTGTCTTTTGGACTTACCCTCAGTGTATTAATGTAGTCAAGTACTGTAAACCAGTTATCCAAATTGATGGTACTTTCTTGTATGGGAAATACAAGCAAGTTTTATTATTGGCTGTGGTCCAAGATGGAAACCGCAATATTTTTCCTGTTGCGTTTGCCCTCATTCAAAGAGAAGACACTGAGTCTTGGGCTTTTTTCCTTAAAAATATACGTTTACATGTTGTCACCAGGGAACGAGTATGCATTATTTCAGACCGAGGAGCCGGGATAAAAGCAGCAATGGACTCTTTGGGTACAATGTATAGACCTCCACATGTTCAACATCGTTATTGTGTCCGTCATATTGCTGCAAACTATTACGGAAAATACAAGAAGAACGATGAACGTCAGTTAGTCGTGCAGATGGGTATGTTACTTTTTCCCAATTTTTCTATCAATTTCTTATTACTTATTTATACTTCATATAACTATTATTCCTAATGGCTTAGGTTACAAACTCTTACCTCAAAGGTTTGAGTCGATGCTACAAGAGCTGTTTGACAAAAATAAGAAGGGTTGCGAGTACATTATGGACATCAGCAAAGAAATGTGGACAAATGCATATGACGGGGGGTATCGCTATGGTCATATGACAACAAACTTGGCTGAAGCAATAAATTCAACCTTAAAGGGGGCGCGTCATTTACCAGTCACGGCGTTGGTAAAATGACTTATTTTCGTTTGGGTCAACTCTTTGCAAAGCTCGGTGGACAAGCTCTTACTTGGATGCAAAACAGACATATTTACCACCCAAGACTAGTAGTTGATTTACAGAAAAAGTGGCTGCATCAAATGGGATGTTAGTTATAAATTTTTCTCGCACCCGTGAATTGTTTCGTGTAACCGAAATGCCACGTCCGCTGCAAGGGATTGAAGCTAACTCTTTCAGAGTTAATCTGCAAGAGAGGTGGTGCGATTGTGGTTTCTTTCAAGCACTCAAATATCCATGCTCTCATGTCATTGCTGCTTGCTCACATTCGCATTTGGACTACAAAAATTATGTTGATCCCGTATACCAACTTTCACAAGTATTCAAGGTATATGAATTTGAGTTTCCGCCCATAGGAAACGAAAGAGACCCAAATGAGATTCAAACTTGGCTTACAATTGTACCAGATCCATTGCTATTGAGGGACTCAGGTCGTCCAAAATCTACTTGAATATATTGTGATATGGATATTTCGGGAGAAGTCAACAGAACAAAAACGATGTGGGCATTGTAGAAACATCGGGCACAATAGAAAAAAATGTCCAGCTCTGTTATCATCATATAACCGTTAACTCTTATGTAATTAATATTGTATTTAAATGAATGTTTTTGTTTCTAATAATTTAATGTTATTGCATTTATATAATTTGTCAATGTATGTACACCTAAATAATTTTTTTAACTTTTAAATACATAAATATTTTTAATATATTTATTTAATATAATAATTAATATTATTAGTTATAATTTTTTTAAAATATAATAATAATTCCACCTTCTAAGTAGAGAAAAATATTAAATTAAACAAATTAAAAGTTATTAAAAATTTATGTATACGATGACACATTTCATGTTCTGATTGGAGGATTAAATTTATTAAATTAAATTTTCAATAAGACTAATTTCATAAAATATGTAAGTCTTGAAGATTAATATGTAATTATACTAATTTATTAACTTATGCATCAATATTTTCGTTAAATATTGATATGAGATGACTAGATTGATAACATTTAAATAATTAACTGATAAAATTAATAGATCGATAATCAAAATCAAAAATAATAATATAACCATATGTGTAATATTATAATTTCATACATTTTTCCTATAACTACAATAAAGTTAAAACTGGTTTTCATATATTGTTATATCATATTAATGTAGATAATTCACTCCACCTTTAACACACATTAACAAAATACATTTGATAATTCTTACATTATAATCGAAACACTTTACATAATATATTATTAATTTATAATAATAATAAAAATAAAATATTTATTATTAAAGTCGAGCTGGCGAGAGGCGCGTCCCCGGAGATGCGTCTTCCACACGTGACATCCAACTCAGGGAAAGCACGAGTAAGGCGCATCTCCGAGGACGCGTCTTTCGCCAGCTCAACAGAAAGAATAGGTTCTACTTCAAAAAATATTAATCAAACGATATCAAAAAAAAGATATTAAAAAAATTAGTGTCAGCTATGTCAAAAAAACCATTTCAAACACAATTTCACTACTCAAGCTACACTCTCCAACTTCTATAAATCCCTACCTTTTCTCTTTCTTCTTGAAAAAGAAAAAAACAGAGAGAAAGCGTGGGAAAGTTCACCATGGTTTTCACGAACAAAGCTATCAATCTTACGAGTATTGGCTCAGTTCTTCCTTCTTCTGTTGTTAAGCCCAAGAATTCATCAAGCAGGGCTCAAATGAAATTAAGGGAGTCGAAAAATTCATCGGTTAAAGCAGTTCAAAGCCCGGCTGTGGAATCGGAAACTGGGAAATGGGTCCGACAGAGACGACCCCAGAATGTCGACGGAGATTTCTTTGTAGGTAAATCATCTTTATTTGATTGATTTCCCAGAAAATTGCTGTAATTTGTGGTAAATTGTTACTTTGATGAGCTCATTTGTTGAAGGGTTATTAAGCTGATTCTGGTGTTGATTGTTAATCTGGCTTTGCAGATCATACCTGCATAGATTGTGATACTTGCCGATGGATGGCTCCGGTAATTACTCAGGGCTTGAATGAACAATTTTTCGTGTTCGTGTTTGTTTGTTTAGTTTATTAGTTTTGAAGTTTTTTGTGTTCAATTTGTTTAGCATTTACTAATATGTTCGCTTATACGGTTCGAGAATTGGTGAGAGATCGGTGGGTTAACTTAAAATTTTAAAAAACTTTAAAGGGTTTAAATTAAGATTTTTAAAATTTTTGAAGGGTTTAGTTTATTTTTTTCCCTAAAAATTAAGGTCTAATCAATTTTTTTTTGAAAAAAATTGAGGTTTAATGATATTTTTTAAAAATTATGGGAGGTATTTAATTAAAAATTCAAAAAAAAATTAAAATTTAATTTAAATTTCTAAAAGTTTTAGGAGGTCAAATTAAAATTTTCAAAAAATTTAAAGGTCTAAATTATAATTTTACTTAATGATCTTATTCTTACTTTAATGTTCTTTATTTCTGTTTGTTGTCAGCAAGTCTTCACAAGAGTTGGTGAAATGTCTGCAGTTTATAAACAGCCAACTTCCGGTGAGGACCGGCTCAAGGCTCTCCAGGTATCATTTTACCGGTTCTCATATGCATTCGTGGGATTGTAAATGAACAAAACATTCGGTGAACTGTTCGTATAACGTTCGTTTAAAAAAACGAGTATGAACAAAACTTTTATGTTCATTCAATAAACGAACAAACACAAATAAATGTGTGTTCAGTTCGTTTATGTTCACGAACAAGCTCGTTTATCGACTCTTTCGTTTATGTTCATTAACAAGTTCTTTTAATGGTTGGTTTATATTCACGAACAAGCTCGTTTATCGACTCTTTCGTTTATGTTCATAAATGTGAGAGATCAGTGGGTTAACTTAAAATTTTAAAAAACTTTAAAGGGTTTAAATTAAGATTTTTAAAATTTTTGAAGGGTTTAGTTTATTTTTTTCCCTAAAAATTAAGTTCTAATCAATTTTTTTTGAAAAAAATTGAGGTTTAATGATATTTTTTAAAAATTATGGGAGGGATTTAATTAAAAATTCAAAAAATTTAAAATTTAATTTAAATTTCTAAAAGTTTTACGAGGTCAAATTAAAATTTTCAAAAAATTTAAAGGTCTAAATTATAATTTTACTTAATGATCTTATTCTTACTTTAATGTTCTTTATTTCTGTTTGTTGTCAGCAAGTCTTCACAAGAGTTGCTGAAATGTCTGCAGTTTATAAACAGCCAACTTCCGGTGAGGACCGGCTCAAGGCTCTCCAGGTATCATTTTACCGGTTCTCATATGCATTCGTGGGATTGTAAATGAACAAAACGTTCGGTGAATTGTTCGTATAACGTTCGTTTAAAAAAACGAGTATGAACAAAACTTTTATGTTCATTCAATAAACGAACAAACACAAATAAATGTGTGTTCAGTTCGTTTATGTTCACGAACAAGCTCGTTTATCGACTCTTTCGTTTATGTTCATTAACAAGTTCTTTTAATGGTTGGTTTATATGCTTTTTACGTTTTATTTTTTCACATCTTAAATATTAGAGTTTAAAGTATGAATCTGAAGCACTTGTGACATAATTTTACCGATTTTAAGCTTGCAGATGAATATGCTCGTGAACATTAAACGAACATGTCTATAAATGTTAAACTAATATTTTTGCAAACAATAAATGAATGAACACGAACGCATTATTAAAAATTAAAACAAACAAGAACGGAACATGAATACCTTTAAAATTTGACAAATGAATACGGACACGATATTAAAAATTTGAACAAATACGAACCGGAGGATATGAACGCCTTTAAAAACAATCAAACGGACACGAACACGGACACAACCTTGTTCATTCAAGCTATATTCATTTACATCCCTGCATCGAAACAGTTGAATTCCTTTCTGCATTTATGTTTGTATCAACTATCATGCAACTGGTTTATTATCATAGACTGTTGATACTTTCAGGCCTTGCTTTCTTGTCCAACAAGTTCGATCCGTACCGAAGAACCTCCTCCCGATATCGTCGAAGCTCAGAACACATTTCCCATCCCAGTAGACGAAGAGAAACTTCCTGTAACTCATACCATTCCTTTACTGTATTTTCAAGACTGATTTTTGTATTATATGTTTATTGGATTAACAGCCTTAATCACCATGGCTATATGATTACTTTTCAGGGTGTTTATCACTGTGGATATCATTCTGAGAAATCATATGGAGCTGCTTCCTTCTTGATCATTCATCCTGACGGAAATATACTTATAGATAGGTAAATATCATACCTCGGTTCTGTGTTGTTCCGACTTTTCATTTTTCTCGAAGTATACAACACCTATGTCCAATATAGTCCCGGACATGGGTATGGGATATGACCCTCCAAGTACCTTCGAATAAATCGAAAAAGTTTTAACATACTCGTATCTAACACGGTCTCGTGTTGGGGATCAGCATGTTAGGTTGAACTAACATGGCTAAATTAATTCTCTGAAGCCCGAGATTCACCGAGAAACTTGTGAGGAAGATCGAGACGCTGGGCGGGGTGTGCTATATGTTTCTAACACACAAGTATGATAATAAATTTATATCTTTATTTCTGTATCTTTTGGAAAAAAGCTTCTGATCCATGTTGTTATGGTCAGGGATGATGTTGCAGATCATGGGAAGTGGTCAAAGCGGTTTAGCTGTGATCGGATTCTGCACTCGGAAGACGTTAGCTTCATCATCCTTAACCTCTGATATGCATTTTCATATATATATAAGGGCTAGAAAATGGCTATAAATGGTTGTCACTACATTAATTCATATTGAACGCTAGTCGGGCCATAAATGCGAATTTGAAGCTAACATGCTACTTGCATTTTATTATCATCTCTGTAGGTAGAAGTTTGTACTGCCGATGTCGAGATGAAGCTGGAGGGGAACGGTCCATGGAGCCTCGGAGACGACGTTATGCTTATACACACTCCAGGCCACACAGAAGTGAGTTCTTAATCTCGATTTATGCAATTTCTTGAAGATTTTCAAATAGTCGCTATAAACGAATAAAGTTAAACAAATTCAACTCTGGATATCTCAAATGTTTCTCAAACGATTTAAGATGAACAAAGCTCGTAGTTACATTTTCTAAATTGTTGCAGGGATCTGTTTGCTTGCTTTATAAGTCGCTTAAGATTCTATTTACCGGAGACCATCTGGTAATGACTAAATCCGGACTCAGCATTATGGAGAGGTACAACAAAAGTTCAGGTAAACCCAAGTAAACATGGCTTCCATGTACCGAAAAAGAATTGTTATTGAATAGAAATGTTTGAACAAGTTATGGTGCATTTACCATTTTGCCTGTTCTTGTCGGCTGTAAATATAGTTAATCGATTTCGTAAAGTCCATGGAGAGAAGTCAGTGGTCTGAGCTATATGCCGGTGTTACTCGAACTCGGGTGTTTGTGTCGGATACGGTTATGAATCCGACGTGGTGTTTTCTAAGCTTTTTCACATATTTGGAGGGTCGTATCCTATATCCATAGTCGGATATGTGCCGGGTGTATGTGTCGGATACGGTTACGAATCTGACATGGTATTTTCTCTAAGCTTTTTCACATATTTGGAGGGTCATATCCCATATTCGTAGTCGGGTATGTGTTGTAAATGTCGAACACGAGTATTTCAAGAACGATGAACCCGTCAATAGCAATCAACCCTAGGACTGGTACCGGCCACCCTATTGCCTAGTATTTCAACAACTAAATGAACTATGAATATGATCGTAGGTTTATCTGCTTCCGATTTTATCATTTAGCATACTTTTGTTTCCCTATGCTCACTGATTTTGTTATTTTTCACAGTGCCTGAACAGGTGGACAGTGTTAAAAAGTTGTTGGATTTTGATTTCAATCGGATCATACCAGGTCCGTACCTTGTCTCGTGTTGTGTCGTGTCAATCCGAACTATATATACTTGTCAAACACGAAACATACTTCCTCTTACACTCTTCATCCATGGACCATTGCCATATTTGAAACTCGGCAGAAGTTCGATTCATCGTCTTCGTCCTCATATTTGATTGATATTCTTAACGATTAACCTAGAAAGTTTGACATCGACATTTACAGGCCATGGTATAAAGCCAGTTCTGTGATAGAAATCTGTTGTACCATGACCTACTACTAGCTCTCTGCAAACAAAAATTTCGAGTTCGAAATCATAGATACGAATATCGGACACGAGTATTTTAAAGAAAATGAAGAGTCGGAACGACATAAGTGATTAATAGTTAAACATATTCATGTCCGAAACTTAAACCCGAGTCCGAGTATGGGAGAGACAAAACACCAAGTTCTCCGAATATAAGTTTGCTTTCTTAATATAAAATCATACGTTCATCCCTAAACACGACCGTACAATGAAATTTGCTTGTCATATTTTTATGTTTAAATTTTTTTACCAAGGAAAACTTTGTGTTTATGATCAAGGACAAAACCATGATGAAATATCGAGGTATAAATATAAATAGAAACAAAATAATGATCAAATTTATTTAATTTTAAATTTAAAACCTACTTAAAAAATATTTAAATAGATAAAATAGTAGATTAAAGTTTATCTAATTTCAAAGGGTTTTAAAAAGTATTTATATCCGAGTTAGGTTCCAATTCAGGACGATCTAAAAATAATTAAATTCAAGATTTTAAAAGGATCAACATATAATTTATCCAAATTTAAAATAGGAAGAAATTAAAAAAAAACAATTAAATCTAGAATTTAGTAGACCATTCAAACTCATAGTTTTCATAATATTAAAATAATAATTATATTAATCAAACTAAAATTTTAAATAAATATTTTATTTAAAGAAACTCATTTTAACCTAACCATTTTCTCACTCTTTATCCACCACTTGAGTGTTGTTTTATTGAATTTCTCGAATATTAAAAGTTAAGATTATTAACTATTCATTATGTTTTAAATTCATCATTTTTCGTTAAAAATTTATAAGTTATCTAAGCTAATCATTAACATGTTAACTAAAATATGATAATCATTTAAAATTTTAAGATTAAATTTTACCAAAGTATAACATCCGGGGTCCGTATATGTACTATCCCAGTACCTATTCACTTTACTTTTGGCTGCCTACCACCAATAAAATCTTATCACACTGGGATTATAAATAAACACTGGTAATCCTTAATTTTTTTTGGGGGGAATTTTTATTACAGGAGAATGAAATGTCATTCCCTCATTTGAATTTCAAACATTCCAAACCTCTTGTAATCTTTTATTTTCAATAGTGGTATTTTTGGGACTTATTATCGGGAATGTGATTCTCTTTTCTCTTAGATATTGTTACATTTCCGGCGTTTTAGAATAAAATGTCCTTAATTTTTTTTTAAAATATCATTCTTTTGTCGTTGAATAAAAAAATTCTACGAAGGTTAAATTACAAATTTATCTTTAAACTATTTTAGATTTACAAAAAAAAATTCATAATTAAAATTTTATATGAAGTTTAGATGTTAAAATAAAATTTTACCCTTTCATTAAATCTATTTATCTTTTCAATTTTGTAAAAAAAATTATATAAATTTTATGAATTTAAAATTTTTAAAGAAACTATATAAATTAATTATAATAAAATTACAGTAGAATTCAACTTATTAAAAAAATAAATATATAATAATGACAATTTAGTAAAATATATATTCTAATAATCTTTTATTCCTTTAACCAAACACTGTAATCTTACATTCCTGCTAAACGAACCAAACACAAAAATGCAACATTCCCAGTAATCTTATTCAAGCCGGTAATCTTATTTCTGTCGGTAATCTTACATTCCGTGAACCAAACGTACCTTGATAGTAATATTTTGAATTAAATTATGTTTTTACTATATTAAATTATGATTGAATTGAATTTAAATTATAAATTAAAATCAAGATTCGAATGAACAAAAATGCAATCCGACTAAACATGCTTTACTACTTAATTTTTACCTGGAAGACGGAAGTCGTCGTCACATGACGATCTCCGGCTTAAGAATGCTGGATTTGATCTCTTTGTGAGGCAAAACCACCCCGCCGTTGCTGTAAATTTCGTCACATACGTGGACGTCTTCCCCGAGAATAGTCATGTTTTCTACTCTAGCCCATTGGCCAACGGTGGAGTGCCATCCGATGATGCTGCTGGATATGCAAGCGTGCTTCTTGATGCGGACTCCGCGCATCACGGTGCAGCGAGAGAGTCTGACTCCGGACTCAACAACGCAGCCTGGACCGATCGCTACATCTGGTCCGATCAAACATCCTTCTCCGATTTTTGCGGTCTCGTGAACCAAAACATTTCCCACAATGTGTGAACCAGTGGATAACTTAGTTGAAGCTTTCTTCCTCAGGGAGTCTAGATAGAGTCTCAGCCCAGTAATGTAGTCCCTTGGCTGACCAATGTCCATCCAAAACCCGGGAAGGACCATTGCGTACAGCTTCTTCTCTGCTGCAATCTTCGGGAAGACCTCTTCTCGATCGAGGTCGGCCTCAGTTCGATTCTATCAAGAACCGAAGGGTTCAGCAGATAAATCCCAGCATTGATTTTGTTTCCAACAAACAACTTCGGTTTCTCCACGAATTTGTCCACCTGACCCGTCGATTCTTCCATCACCACCACACCGTATTTCGATGGCTCATCAACCTATTTAATTTCAACTCGAGTATTACAATCTCTCCGGAGAAAATAACTTGAAACTCAAAACAAAAAAATTCTTAAGAGCTTAATTATTACCTTGGTTACCACTATGGAAGCTTCTCCTCCATGAGCTTTGTGGAATTCAATCATTTCTTTGAATGGATACTCACTGATAACATCACTGTTAAGGACAAAAAACGGTTCACCAGACTCGTCAACAAGCTTGTCCCTAGCCAAAGCAAGGGGACCAGCAGTGCCGAGCGGCTCCGTCTCTTGAGAGCATGTGATCGTGATCCCGAGTTTTGCTTCAAATTCCTTCAAGAAGTTCAACATCACCTACAAAATTAAAGTGGCCACCGGTCAGCCTATGAACACTTAATCCACTAAACTTTCGGGTCATTCCATTAAATTTTACACATGAAGAACCCTAATGTACCTCAGGTTGGTAGTTAATAGCCAACACAATTTCAGTAACACCAACAGCCCTGAGAGCCTCGATCTGCAAAACATCCAACTAAACATTATTCCACAAAATAAACAAACTTGCTTCGAGAAAACAACAATCATAGTTCAAAAGTATACCTGATGCAGGATCATGGGTTTATTAGCGAATTCGACAAGCGGCTTAGGAACACTAAGAGTCAAGGGCCTCAAACGTGTTCCGAACCCTCCAACAAGAATAAGTGCCTTCATTGCGATATACCTTCTGTTTTACCTGTAAATAGAAAAGCAACTTGAGAAATGCTTAATCCCAAAAACTCTTCTGCTTATACATGACAAGAAAGGGGAAAGAACCAAACACTAAAACACACGCTATAAGCCAAAACATAATGTTCAAAGCTAAAAGCAATACTATGACACACTGGTTTCTTAGGGAGGAAAAAAGAAGACAAAGGAAGCAAATACTTTCTTTCTTTTTTTCCTTCTTAACAAACACATTGATTGACATGAATCTAGAACGAAATCCAGCCATTGAGTAACCCCTGCCTCAAGTAATGACAATTGGTTTAAGCTACTTTATATTTTCTTAATCTTTCTTTTTAATCCTTTCCAAGGGAAAATAAATGGAGCCATAGAGTCACTACAATGGAGGCATAGAAAACAGAAAATCACTACAAAAACCACACCTAAATAAAAAATTCAACCAGAAACATTTCAATTTGACAATTTACAAAGCATTTGACAACAAACATAGCAAAAAGAAATGAAAAACTTCAGTAAAAAACTTAAACAAAGCTAAAATGATGAGTAAGCATAACTTTAAAACTCTGGCTAAACAATAACGAGATTAAGGATATTAACTTAAATTCCCTGTTGTTCTTCTTAAATTCAACCATGTAAACAACCAGATCAAACAAAATACAACACTGCAAACCAAACCAAACCTCAAAATTCTCACCGAAAACGTGCTAACCGCAACGAAATCGAAACAACAACAAAAAACGAACGGCAAGTCGCTTTATCAACTCCACTGAAACATTCAAGACGATTCCGTACGAATCTCGAAACGATCAGAATTCAGTGATTACCTTAAAGCCTTACCAGATCCAAGCACGAACCGAGTTCAAACTGCGAAACTCGAGCCCGATTCCAGGCAACTACTAAGAAAAAGGGCGGGGAAGTGAGTCGACTTCGACGAGTTGAATAACTTTTGGTTTCGTTCAGTGACAGTTTCTGTTTTTCGTCGCTAGCTGAGTTGGCAGCTAAGAGATGAAGAGGACGTTGTTTATGAGAAAGGAGAGCGGTAATTTTATACGAAGGCGAGAATGCGCTGAAGACAAGTAACGTGAAGTTTCTTTTTGGTATTCAAATAATTATTTTTATGATGAATTACGCGTTTATCTAAACGATTAATTTTTATCCATTTTAATTTTTAAATTTTTTATAATTATAACTAATGTTTAATTTTTATTTTCGTACTTCGTTATTAAAATTTTAACACGTTTAGTACATAAACTATCAATTTCGATCCGTTTTAATACTTAAACTTTCGTTTCTTTTCAAAACAAAATGTTAAGTTTTTACTGGGATATTAAAATAAAAAAAAACTAAATGTTAGTTATGACTTTGGAAAAATTGAAAGTCTAAGTATTAAAATAGACCAAAATTAATAGTCTAAGTATTAAATGCATAATTTATCCTTATTTTTATCACTAAACTTTGAAATATTATAAAGTTATCAAATTTATAGAAATATTATAAGACAATCATTGTGACGTTATAGTTAAGTATAAAATTTTGATAATAATTTTGACGAAGTTTAATGATTGTTTTGAAATATTTTAATAAATTTAAGGAGTATTTTATAACATTTAAAAGTTAAACGATAAAAATAATTATTTAAATATAATTTCATGATTGTTATGTATTTTATTGATAAAACAGAGATCAAATTGAAAAAAAAAATTAAAAAGAAGATTATTTTTAAAAATCATTATTAAATATATAAAAATAATAATTATATTATTATGTCGAATATGAACGAGTCAAAGATTTTCATCTTTAGACTCTAATCTTACTTAAGTTCGATCCTTTACAAAACTTGATCTGATCTTAATTCTATTTATTAAAAAAATATCGAACTTATAAGATTAGATATGATCAAAACCTATTAAATTTAGATAGAACAGTCATCTACGATTAAAAGTTATTCGATTCGATTTGATTCGAATCAGACTTTTATTTCATTAATATTAAAATGTGACTCAGCTCCAACGAGGTCATCTACGCACACCAACACGGCCCACCTCACGAGAACATTCAAAATCGAAGCCAAATCCGTGGGCAATATTTGTAGTATTTAAATCAAGGGTAAATTACATATTTAGTACATAAACTATCAAGTTTGATTTGTTTTAGTATTTAAACTTTTAATTTCTAAAATATTATACTTAATGTTTAGTTTTTATTTCATTTTAGTAACCGTCGTTAAAAACTTAGCAGATGGGTTTCACATGTCATCATGTCTACAGTCATTGGTCGTCGCATCCGTCGGTCGATGAAGCACAAACTTTCTAGCTTGCACCTTTACGATCCCTGAACGTGATTTCAGCCTCCGTTTCACCGGAAAATACCTCAATCTTCCCAAATCAATGCAGACTCTTCGACTTCTTCATTCTCCGATCTCCATCATCGACCATCAGATGGACTTGAAACTGGATTATGTTGGTTGACTCGTCATTCTGTCGTTATCCACTACTCGGATTGGTCGTCTGTCTACCAGAGTTTTACCCCGTTAGCCTGTCCGTTAAGTTTTTAACGGTGGGATATTAAAATGAAACAAAAACTAAATATTAGGTATGATTTTGAAAAATTAAAAGTTTAAATACTAAAACAAACTAAAACTGATAGTTTAATGCTAAACGTGTAATTTACCCTTAAAGTAATTGATTTCCTTAATTAATTAATTAGTTAGTTAACAGTTGTCTGAACAAATACAACACTGGAAGTTTCGGTTCTTGGACCAATGTCAAGTAATTTAACGCTATTGTCGTATTGACATGATTTTTTAGAGTAAACTACCCTATCTATCATCCAACTATTGGGGTGTTTCTATTTTGGGTCACTTAATTTAAAAATTCAATTAAAACACTACAATTAACCATTTAACGCAATTTCTTTTTTAAATTTTTTATAATACACATTAAATATATATTATTTATATATTCTATAATTCAATCTCAATTTAAAATATGACAAATGAATCTTTCTTTTGGAAATTATCCATGAGATAATAGGAAGGGTTTCGGAGAATATAGAAAAAAAAAACACACGCACACACAAAATTTGGAGCGGAAGATTTATGGACTAAATTGACAAATGGAAAAAATAAACCAGACCAATAAATAGTGTTGACAAAATATAGGGGTTGACGACGGCATGTTGTGGACTAAATTGATAAATTTTTTAAATATATATAATTAAATTAATTGAATTAAATCGAAGTTAAGACCGGTAACTTGATTGATCGATTTTCTTAACTTTGTGCCTTCACTGAAAAGTAGTTTGGTGGCAAAATAGAAACACCCTAATGGTTGGGTGACCAAGAGGGTAGTTTACCCTTACTTTTATTAGTTTTGGCCAATTGGCCTAGTTTTGTTTGTAGACTGCCTTTGACAACTTTTCAAGTCAGAAAGAAATGACTTAAGAAAGAGAAATAACCTAAGTGGCCAAAAATGTCTTATAATATATGATTCTAACCAATTTTTTTTAGATTTGTCAAAATGACCAACTAAATCGTAATGCGATCGATAATTCGCAGCGCGATCTCCGGTATCGCAAATCAATTTCCAGATTCGCAACGCGAACTTCGACTATCGCATTGCGATAGTCCAAGTTCGCGTTGCGATAGTCGAAGTTCGCGTTGCGATTTATTCCAAATTCGTTGCGATTTATTCCAAATTCGTTGCGATAGTCGAAGTTCGTGTTGCGATTTATTCCAAGTTCGTGTTGCGAACTTCGACTATCGCAACGAACTTGGAATAAATCGCAACGCGAACTTAGACTATCGCAACGAATTTGGAATAAATCGCAACGAATTTGGAATAAATCGCAACGCGAACTTCGACTATCACAACGAATTTGGAAAATCGCAACGCGAACTTGGACTATCGCAACGAATTTGAAATAAATCGCAACGCGAACTTCGACTATCGCAACGAACTTGGAATAAATCGCAACGCGAACTTCGACTATCGCAACGCGAACTTGGACTATCGCAACGAATTTGGAATAAATCGCAACGCGAATTTCGACTATCGCAACGAATTTGGAATAAATCGCAACGAATTTGGAATAAATCGTAATGCGAACTTCGACTATCGCAACGAATTTGGAAAATCGCAACGTGAACTTCGACTATCGCAACGCGAACTTGGACTATCGCAATGCGAATATGTAAAATGCAATGAGATAGTCGAAGTTCGCTTTGCGATAGTTGAAGTTCGCGTTGCGAATCTGGAAACTGATTTGCGATACCGGAGATCGCGTTACGAATTATCAATCGCATTGCGATTTAGTTGGTCATTTTGGCAAATCCAAAAAAAGTTGGTTAAAATCGTATATTATAAGACATTTTTGGTCACTGAGGTTATTTTCTCCTTAAGAAATTGGTCGGCCTAACATTTCTAAGTTGTGTAGCTCTCTTTATTCAAACCTAAAGAAACTGCACGAACAAATACACCTCGGTGATAAAAAGATTATTGTTATTTTTTGGAGTTTTGAGTTCGAGTATTAAGAATATCGAAGGTATGAGCGTTCAATATCAATTGGTTAAGACTTGAGAGTTGTCTTTGAACATATATTACCTAAAGAAACTTATTTGGTAAATTCGCTTTTGGGTCATTTAGTTATCTATTATCAAATTTATAATTAATTTGGTAAATTTAATATATAAATTATAATCACTTTAAATATATAATGTACTATATAATATGTTGAGTATTTTATATTATTTAATTTAATTCGTGATATATTTTAGGGTATGTCTGAATTCTAATGTATAATTGTATGAAAGTGTAATTATCATCTTAATAACTATATTATAATTGTTTTATGTATAATTGGTATTTTGACCCAAGTCTGACGGATTCGTATTTAATCTTATGAGATTGTTTTTCTAATAGAGTTTGTGTCGAGTCGAGTTTAATAAAGAGTAAGACCAAATCAAGTCGATATTGAATTTAAGATAAAAAATCTTCGATCTAAATTAAGTCGAAATAATTGTATAAACCTACTTCAATGTGTTCATGTATCTTTCATGTATAATCAAAATTGAGAGGGGTGTTGTTGAAGAATAAGGAGTTTTTTAGGCTTAATTTCCCATCGTTACCCACTTCTTCCAAGCAATGATAGTTGACCTAATTTCCTAGGTTGACTCAATTATCAATTAATTCATAATAATAATAATAATAATAATAATAATAATAATAATAATAATAATAATAATAACACCTTACCATCTTGACTCTGCTATCCTGGCATTAAATATGAAGAAATTATCCTAAAAATCAAATAAACGGGTTAGGTTAGAGCAGGTTTCGGTCAATCAGACTCAACCCAATAAAATTTATTTTCTATCCAAAATTTGACTTGAACCATATTTAAAGCGACTTCATTCAATCTGAAATCTAATTAGATTTTGTAAAAAAAAATTAGTTTTAAACTTCTTTTAGGGCTATTGGGTGGGAAAAATTAAAGGTTGAGATAATATATAGAGGAGTATTATTATAATTATACTTTTCTATTGGACCAAATAATCCACCCACCTGGATTATTTGCCCAATTCCACCTCTTGACTCTGCTATCCTGGTATTAAATATAGGGTAAAGTATACAAATAGTCCTTAAACTTTTAAGGCGCTTGTATTTTGGTCACCTAACTTTTGAAACTTGTAATACAATAATCGAACTTTTAATTCGTTTCGATAAGGTTTCGCCATTATCTCCCGTTAATTTTTGCTGACGTGTCACTTAATTGTCGTTAAACCCCCTCCTCCTCCTCCTCATATTTGGTATTACATAGAGTTTTCCTTGTCCGATAATTTACAAGGTTGACAATTATTATCTCTACGAGGATTTGATTGTTGAGAGAATTTTGTTTTTATTAGAATTTAGTACCAATCGTTTAAGGTGATTACTTCTCGAGTGACCTTGTTTGTTCTACCCTTTTTGTAGCAGAAGAGAGATGGGACGATAATGAGAGGCTAGAATGGGACGATAATGAACCTGAAGAATATGGCGGGGTGGATTATGATGAGAAGGAGATGGGTCCTGACGAGTGATGCGGACGAAGATATCATGCTTATCAAAATATAATGTTATGCAATCAAACAACATGTTTCACAGAATATTATTAAAAATACATGCATAAAAACTACGAACAAGTTACAGTAGAGTATCTAAATCGTATTTAAAATAACGTTAGGTATATTTTGAAAAATTTAAAATTATAGGTATTAAAATAGATCAAAATTAATAGTTTAGGTATTAAATGTATATTTTACCCATAAAAATTGTTCTAGAGGTAAAATAAGACGACGTCGTAACAAGCATATAAAGTAAGCCAAAAGCCCTCTTTCTCCACATCGTCTAAATAATATCTCAATAGCTACAAGCGCCACCCTCCAAGTTCTCTCGAAACCCTAATGATGGCGATCGACAAAACCGAGCCCAGCAAGCTCCGATGGGGAGAGCTAGAGGAAGACGACGATCTCGACTTCTTGTTGCCGCCCAAGGAAGTTATCGGCCCCGATGAGAACGGGATCAAAAAGGTGATCGAATACAAGTTCAACGAAGAGGGTAATAAGGTCAAAATCACGACGACGACCCGAGTCCGAAAGCTGGCCAAGGCCCGTTTGAGTAAGCGGGCTTTGGAGAGGAGGAATTGGGAGAAGTTCGGCGATGCGGTGCGTGAAGATGTTGGGAGTCGGCTCACTATGGTTTCCACTGAAGAGATCCTTCTTGAACGTCCCAGAGCTCCTGGTTCGATTCTAATTACCTTTTTTTTCACTAAAATGTCTTATTTTATGTGATTTGGTTTCGATTTGATGAAATTGGATATATAAATTTGAAAGTTTTAGATTAGGATGATAGGTTCTTGTTAATCTTCTCTTATGTGGTTTTGATTGCTGTTAAATTTTACTTAATTTGCATTTGATTGCATCTTTATATGGATTGTTTCCACTGAAGAGATTCTTCTTGAACACCCCGAGCACTCGTTAGATTCCAATTACCCCTTTTTATTAAGACTTTTTTGTGATTGTTTTAGATTTGATGAAATTGAATATATATATCATTTGAAAGTTTTAGATTATGATGATTGGTTATTGTTAAATTTCTCCTAATCTGCATTTGATTGTTGTTAAATTTCTCTTCATTTGCATTTGACTGCATCTTTATATGGATTGTTTCAAGGTATTGGTCTCAGTATCACTTAAATGAGCATGATTTGATTAATTTGGTTATGGTGGTCAATTAGCCAATCACATATCAGCTATTGTTGCTGTTTGTTTGTGTGAATGGTCAGTAAGCCACCTATAGCTGTTGTTTGTGGCCTTTTTTTACAGTGAAATATGTTTATTTTTTTTCACTTTTGGAGCCATTAACTACATTCGAGTACATTTCCCAGTCTTCCGACCAGTGGTTTATACCGAAATTTCACCTAAATTTGTAATCACTTTTTTTTTTCTGGTTTTGTGTTTCATTTGAGAATGGTGGATTGGTTCTGCCAATCATGTTTTAATCAAATGGTGGTTGTTTAATGCGGAATGATCATGGGGAAACTGTTTGCATCTTTTTTAAATCGGTATTCGATTGTTGAATGGTTAAACCAATTTATTGGCTTCATTCCGAGGCCATTAACAACATCCAAGAAACGCTTGTTTTCTAAATTGTGTGTTTTTTCAGCATAGGTCTTGAAGGTTTTTTTTATGGCATGCTCCCGTTGTGACGTTTTTGTACAAATGCATGTGTCTACGACACAATTGTTTATAGGTACCAAACAGGAAGAAATGAAGGCTGCAGGGGACAGTTTGGCTCAACTTAGCAAGGGAGGTGCGGTTCTCATGGTGTGCCGTACATGTGGTAAGAAAGGTGATCACTGGACTTCCAAATGTCCTTACAAGGATCTTGCTACTCCAGTCGAAACCTTTGTCGAGAAACCTGCAGCATCAGAGACCTCAGTGGCTGCTCCCGGAGCTGGAAAGGGAGCTTACGTTCCACCAAGCATGAGAGCTGGTGCTGAGAGAACCACCGGATCAGATATGAGACGCAGGAATGATGAGAACTCCGTTAGGGTAACCAACTTATCTGAGGACACCCGGGAGCCCGACTTGCATGAACTTTTCCGACCATTCGGTGCTGTGACTCGTGTGTATGTTGCTATGGATCAGAAGACGGGCACAAGTAGAGGGTTTGGTTTCGTCAACTTTGTGAACCGAGAGGATGCCCAAAGAGCTATTAACAAGCTGAATGGATATGGTTATGACAATCTCATCCTCCGAGTCGAGTGGGCGACCCCGAGAACAAACTAGAAAGATTATCAACTTCCTGGTTATGTCAACAGTTGCAGTAAACCGTCTAAAGTGCAGATTTTGGCCACCACCCCAACTTTCTTTTAAACCTATGTTGTTACATGACTTTATGTTCTATTTAAGGTCAATTATTGGTTCACTAATGGCTTTCGTGTTAAACCATTAACCATGAGTGTCACTCAATAAAACATTTCCCAAACCTTCCATTAGCTTAAACCTCATGTTTTTAAGGGTCACAATTAAGAATGAAACATGGTGACCATGATGGTGACCTTCTGATTGCTTTCGCTTGATGATTTCAATTGGGCCCCTCCACCGATCATGTGTCTGAAAATGATGGGCTTATCATTGGGCACAAATGATCATGTGATGGAGAAGTGAGGCCCAATCATTGTATGAGATTGGCCTACCTCAAGGATCAATTAGTTGATGTGGATTGGATCACATGGGATAAACATTGGGAACATGTTGGGCCTTCAACTATTGGACTAGCAAAGCACATGGAACAAGATTCTTATTTAGGATAAAAAGTTACAAATAGATTGATCAATGGGTCGGTCGAGTTAATTTTAGGTGATAACAATTTAGTTTAAAATTTAAAGTTTTGAGCACCTATTTAATTATTTCAGTGGTTAGAGCGATAGTTATTATTCCTAAATGTTTTAGCTTTAAGTATTAGAGACTGTAAAGATGTTTGAGCTTTCATTATTAAATGGTTGAGAATATTTTATAACAAATATTACTCGCAATCACATTTATATTATTAAAAAAAATTAAAGTTTTCAAGGTATCTAGGTCAAACTAATTTCATGTTTCGAATACTTAATGTTTAAATCATGTAATGGAAAAATTATTTGATGGACCCGACTCAACGTCATCCGTGATCCCAACCAATAAAATTCATCAATCTCATTTTTCCAAGGTGAATCTTCACCTATTTTCTAGGTGTAAATAAAGGAATGATGATTTATTTTATGGGTGTTTTGTGGGCTTCCTAAATGCGATGATTGATTGGATCAAATAGTGCATAACCACTCTAAGCTTCTCGATTGTTATCAATAGTGACTTGGTAGGGTTGTTTACAAGTGTTAAGGGAGTATATTCACAATTATAGAGGGACTATATCCATAATTAAACCATAATAAGATAAGGAGGGGGACAAAATATCCATTCGCAAGCCGGGTGAGGTTAGCAAAAGACACATTCATCAAATTATAGTTCCGATTCGTTACTTCACAGACTCTGGGCTCTTCTTTCAACTCCAAAGAAAATCACGAAGATGCCACTGTAGATTCAAAATCGACGATCCAGAATTCCAGATCACCGCAAATCCTCCACCGCCGCCGTCGCCTTTGTTTTTCAAACAATGAAGCTTCCTGGCAATGCCGATTTCCTCAAGAGCCAAACGGCGATCAAATTCGCAGCCTTCGTTTTCATCTCCGTCTCATTCTTTTACTTAGGCAAACACTGGTCCGACGGTTCCCGTCAGCTCGTCTTCTTTTCCCGCCAATCGCCTTCCTCCGCGACGTCGTCTGTGCCTTCCGTCGCTATTTCTCCCAATTTCAATAAAGAATTAAATGTTTCCGTTCTCATTAATGCCACAGAAGTCGAAACCAGCTCGGAATCAGCTGAGCCGGTCATAAGTAATGAGCGGCAATCGGTGTCGGCTTTGAAGGCAGCTCCGCCTCCTCCCCCGCCTCCACCGGAGATAAAGAGTTACGGGATCGTGGATGAGAATGGTACGATGTCAGATGAGTTTGAGATCGGAGAGTTCGATCCGGATTTGGTGGAGAATTGGGGAAACGGAACGGAGATTGAGACGGAAACCAATAAGGGAGATGCCAAGTCTACATTCAGGGTTAAGAAGTTTGGGCTTTGTGACGAGAGTATGAGAGAGTTTATACCTTGTTTGGATAATGTGGAAGCGATCAAGAGGCTTAAGTCTACTAAGAACGGAGAGAGATTTGAACGGCACTGTCCGGAGAAAGGGAAAGGATTGAATTGCTTGGTTCCGCCTCCGAAAGGGTACCGGCCGCCGATCCCGTGGCCTAGGAGCCGCGATGAGGTGAGATATTTTGATTAATTTTTAAAGATATGATGCAGAATGAAATGCAATATCATATGCTTTGTGTATTTTTATTTTTAGTATATTTAACTACTTTGTCTCTACTTTGACTGTACTTTGACAATGCTTTAGTTCTGCATGCAGTCTATATAGCTGAGTTAGATTCACGAGTTCATAATTACTTAATTAGAAACAACAGGCTGTGAGTTCATTTGTTAGCTTTTTCGGACTTCGAATGTTTACTAAGCACCGTTGAATGATTTATTTGTTAAATTGTTTCTTTTTCTATTCATTTTTTTTTGTTAAATTATTTCATGCGTTGAAGTACTAAAAAACAGATTTGGTATCTTTAGATCTCCACGGGTGATATATCCTAGGGAGAATTGAGATATGTAATGTTTGAGAAGTGATACTAAAGCTTTTTTTTTGGTGTTGAATTAAGTTCATTTACTAAGAAAAAGAACTTGATAGAGAGATATGAATTTTGGTTGATAATTGTGCTGGTTTTGATTTTTTCCCCCTTTGTTGCTGAGGGATTAAAGGAAACTATACTTTTGAGTGTTTTCTTTTTCCTTTTTACCCTTCTTTTTCCATCTTGTGTGATGCATGAGCTTATAATTTTATAATATTTATTTATTTCAGTTTTATTAAATATTAGAGATATTTTGGATGCTAGGATTATAAGTTTCCGTTATGTTTTAAATCCAGGGCTAGGATTAAATTATTTTTGTAAGCCTATTATAATAAGTTGTAAAAATATTACAGCCACAAATTATCATTATTGTTTCTTTGAATTAGAAGAAAACTAGAGGTTTCGTTAAACCTAAGTTTTTCTCGAGTTCCATCTTCTTTCTTACTCGTTTGTTCAGCCTTACTTCTTTTGATTAATATTGTTTTTACTACCCACGTCATCATGTTTTTTCAAGAACCTTTTGCTACTTGAAGTTGCTTTTGTTACAGTTTGATTTGTTTATTCGTTCACTTATTTGCAAGTAGCATATGTAGTTTTCTAATAGGATATACTGCTTCAATGGATAGGTATGGTTCGGTAATGTCCCGCATTCGCGTCTGGTAGATGACAAAGGTGGTCAGAATTGGATTTCCAGAAAAGGGAAGGATAAGTTCAAGTTTCCTGGAGGTGGGACACAATTCATACATGGGGCAGACCAGTACCTGGATCAAATGTCTAAGGTTATGAAAATTTTAAAATCTATTATGTATGCATGAAAATGTCTGGATTTTGTTTCTGACAAACAGGTTCTAACCTGAATATCCAGATGGTTCCTGAGATTACATTTGGTCATCATATTCGTCTTGTTTTGGATGTTGGATGTGGTGTGGCAAGTTTTGGTGCTTATTTGCTATCACGGAATGCTATAGCCATGTCAATAGCTCCTAAAGATGTCCATGAAAACCAGATCCAATTTGCTCTTGAACGTGGAGTGCCTGCAATGGTAGCTGCATTTGCAACTCGTCGTTTATTATACCCCAGTCAAGCCTTTGATTTGATACATTGTTCTAGATGTCGTATCAACTGGACTCGCGATGGTAAACTTTTTTGTTCTGTTTTATGTAGTTGCCATGGTATACCTTTTACTCACGTTTTATCTAGTCATTTTTTTGGTTGCAAAGCAAAGTAAGGAAAATATTTTAGATCTGATAAAATGTTCTTGTTCTATTTCAAATATCATTTTTGCACTGACTTTGGGATCTGGCTACCCTATATTCTCATTCTATTTCTGTTGCTCTTCTCCATTAAGGAAGTTCTGCAATTCCAATTTCCTCTCTTTTCCCATAAACTTTCTTTTTCTGCCTTTTTTTTAAAGTAAAAACTTGTTTATATTTTAAAACATTATCCTTCATTAGATATTTATAGAATAACACTTCATGTTTCTTTTAATCAACTTCTGGGATATCTTCTGATTTATCCTTCTATGCTTTGTAATGAAGATGGAATTTTGCTCCTTGAGGTGAATAGAATGCTCAGAGCCGGTGGTTATTTTGCTTGGGCAGCGCAGCCTGTTTACAAGCACGAACAAGCCCTTGAGGAACAGTGGGAAGGTAGGAATGATGGACCTAGATTCATGTTAAGCATGTGATGAAATGTGATATCTACTATACTCTTTGTGGATTTGCAATTTGAACTTTAAATTATACTGATATTTTCTTTTTATCCCGGTTTACCATTTATACTGTTTAGCTTGTGCTCATTTGGTGAAATGTGTTGTGCGGCAGTTTGTAAGTAATTATGTATTAGATTTTCAATTCATGATTATTTTTTGATCTCCTTTGTTTCCAGAGATGCTTAACCTTACTACTCGCCTCTGCTGGAATCTTGTAAAGAAGGAAGGGTACATTGCAATATGGCAGAAGCCTTTTAATAATAGCTGTTATTTAAGCCGTGAAGAGGGAACTATTCCTCCTTTGTGTGATCCAAATGATGACCCAGATAATGTTTGGTATGTTCAAACTCTTTTTATTTTGAAAAGACAATTCATAAATGTGACTGTATAATCGAACTGGAATGGCTGATTTTTAGTTATACATGTCCTTTCCTGCATATGAGGATGCTTTGAGCATCGGCAATCATATAATTGAATGCTTGGCGTTTTAGATACTTGTTTTATGCATCTTACTGTGCACTAGCTGGTGTATGTTTCTTTTAGTGTATGTCCCATATAAAACGAGAAACTGTCTTCTGCTTGAAGGAATCTGTGCATATAATTGCTTTTCGGAAACTGTGTTGGAGTTTTGCCTATGGTCCTTTTGACCATTGAAAGTTTTACTAACAGCTGTATGAAACTGACCATTGGCATGATTTCACTTCTCTATGCTGATTTTTTTATGGCTTCCATCAATTGAACAATATTTTCTTCACTTGCATATTATTTTAACTTCGTCAGTCTCTGAGGATTAATTTCTAAAGCTATTTGGAATTCTGCAACACTCATTCTTGTCCTTATAGTTAGTCTTCTTGGTTAGGAATTCTGCAACACTCATTCTTGTCCTTATAGTTAAGTCTTCTTGGTTATCATTTAGGTCTTTCATTCTCAAGGGTGCCAGTTTAAAATCTT